GAGTGAGATTTATTTCTAAAGGAAGCCAACTTCTTTAAGTCACTATCATGGATGGAAACTAATAACCCCGCATACAGCAGATAAGTGTGATGATACATATAACATAGTGTTACTAAGTTCTACAGAAGGCAATCCAAAAGGAATATTGTTTTTTTACAAAAATGCTAACTTTCTCACCATGACTCAATATTAGAAACTGCTGTTATGTGGCACCACTTAAAATCATCCCCAGCAGTACCAGTGGTATATGCCTTACACTTGGGGAAAAAATGAACTAAATGGATAATGATATAGTACTGTGATGTAAGTCAAATAACAGCACAGGCTATAAAATTCAAGTGACTAACCCTTCAGGCAGGATTCGTGATGCATTAACAAAGTCGGCCTGAGATTCCTGGATAGCAAGATAGTACCATGGGGTAATACTTTTTCTTACATATCCAGAGGTCGTGTCCCTCCAACAACTAAGGATCAGTGAGCACAGGAAACAGACATGAAGCATTTTACCACAGAAAACTGCTTCAGACCTTAAATCAGGGCCGTATGCTTTCTTTAGGCATCGTAACACCATATTCAGATACCAATTTTATACGCTCCAATCATCCTTTAATCTAGAGTCAGGGGAAACACCTAGTTTCTTTTACCCCCAGTTTATTTTAGTTATTGCCTGACTGAAAAAATAATCCGCTGTTAGGACATGAGAAATGTGTCACTTTCCTCGCCTCTCACCGGGTTTGTATGGAAGCAGTGCCTCGTCCCTACTCCTTCACAGGACACGGCCAAACACTGTCCATAGCCAGGTGTTGAGCAACAGAGCCAGGGCTCCCACCCAGAGTCCTGCCTGCCAACCACATCCAGCCATTGCGGGGGCAAAACTGTGCTCATCCCAAGCCTCTCTCTCCTTTGACTCCAGAACAGGTCTCCACAGCCTATATATAACCTACAAGCACCACTCTTCCTTCCTAAGCTCACTCTTCTCATTTCTAACACAATACACAATCCCCTGGACTTTGTGCCTGAAATGCCGGAGAACAAAGCCACAAAATCAGGGTTTAGAGGTCTTGGCAGTACTTGGCATAGGACACAAGCCTATAAAAACTTCTCTCCTCCTCATTTATAGATTTTTCTGGAGACAAACACAAAACTTGTCTTCTATTCCTCACTTGAGCTAAGGAACACCAGAACATGTCTAATTTTGCTCCTGGACTGAAAGGCCAACTCGAGCTTAGGTCAGTAACAGAATCTTAGCTTTTCACCAGTAGTATCTTGAAGGTTTCCCACCTTCCATGCGAGAAGGTGCAGGGCCCATGGAACCTGAGCAAAGTGATGCTCATAACCACAGGAAGCTGCTGAAGGAACGTTAGTAGTGAACTTGTGGATCCTGCTACTCAGCCCCTGGGGACTTCCAGCAATGCAGCATCTCAAGCCCCGGTCCAGCCCTACTGCATCAGAATCTTCAGGTTAACAAAACCCACTGCATGCTGAAGTTTGACAAGCACTGAACCAAAGACTTGTGGGGTCTGATACCAACACCCTGCCTTCCTCCATGGTCCGGCAATGCTCTCTGGAAAATCAGGAACTGAGGAAGCCAGTAAAGGTCCTACCATGACACAGAGAGCTCTGGCTGTGGACCTGCTACAATTCAGGGACTAGGGAAGGACTAAAAGGAACAGTCTCTCTGATCATGGAGGGCAGCCTCAGCGGAGCCACAGAATACTAGAGGCTCCACCAGGCCTCCAGATGTAAGCAAACCCTTACAAATGCCTGTATCCATACAAAGTAGGGGTTTTCACATGGCCTCTCAGGCTAGAGACTTCACAACCTTTATTTACCTACTCAGTTGCCTAGGAAATTCATTGTGATTTAATCTGCAAAAAAAAAAAAAAGAGAGAGAGAGGGAACGGTGAGATTTGCCTGACCTGGAAATAGCTTAAGACCCATGTTCCTGTTGGTTAAACTAAATATGACCTTGTTCTGTTCTGTCATCTCTGTTTTTCTCACAACCTCAAAGAAAGCCTGGAACCCTGCCTGCCATCCTCCTCCACACTGTCCATCACGCCCACACATGCGCGCGCGCGCGCGCACACACACACACACACACACACACACACACACACACACACACATTCATGCTACTGAGCCAGAGCAAGGCTCTGCCCATAGGGGAAGGGGGAGGTTAACTCCCCTCAGCACTTTTTTAATGTCTATTTATTTATTTTGAGGGAGACTGTGTGTGTGCACATTAGCTGTGGGAAAGGGGCACAGAGAGAGGGAGAAAGAATCCCAAATAGGCTCCATGCTATCAGCGCAGAGTCCGACACGGGGCTTAAACCTACAAACCATGAGATCAGGGCCTGAGCCAAAACCAAGAGTCAGATGCTTAACTGACTGAGCTACCCAGGCGCCCCTCCCCTCAGCATTTCTAAATAAGCCTGATAAGGTGACAGCATCTGCAGGATCCTTCACCAAACTCCCAATACCTGCAGAAGGAAAGGAAACTTCATTCTGCGTCCTGACACTGACTTCCATAAAAGTCTAGTTTCTTTCATCAGTATGCTGGAAGGTATAAAGGGACACATGGGAGGAAGCATGTGGCCCTTCTTTCTAGCTAAGAATGGAATGGAAAGAAACTGCAGATGTGAAAGTGGTAGAACTTTTCTAATGCCAATTTCAAAATTGCTCTTTTATTTCTTCAGATTGTGTGATTTCAGTGACCACTTTCCTAAGTCACTGCTTCCATATAGAATTAATTGCCAGCGATTCTTCATAACATATAATTTCTGAGACAAGGGATAGCAGTTTCAATTACATATACTTCATTGAATTTTTAAAATTTTTTTAATGTTTATTTACTTTTGAGACAGACAGAGACAGAATGCGAGCGGGTCAGGGGCAGAGAGAGAGGGAGACCCAGAATCCGAGGCAGGCTCCAGGCTCCGAGCTGTCAGCACAGAGCCCGACACAGGGCTTGAATTCACGAGCTCTGAGATCATGACCTGAGCCGAAATCAGATGCTCAACCAACTGAGCCACCCAGGTGCCCCTAATTTTTTTTTTTTAATGTTTATTCACTTTTGAGAGAGAGAGAGTGAGCGGGAGCGAGGCAGAAGAGGGAGACCCAGAATCTGAAGCTGGCTGCAGGCTCTGTGCTGACAGCTCAGAGCCCCACACGGGGCTCAAACCCACAAACCGTGGGTCTTGACCTGAGTCCATGTCGGACACTCAATGGACTGAGCTACCCAGGCGCCCCTCAATTATATATACTTTAGATCAATGTGATATAGGATAGCTTAGCAGCAGTTCTGGCCTCAGATGCCTGCCCCATGCCACACTCAGGTGTAAGGGGAGCTGTATCTGTGCTGAGGGGTGGGGTCAAGCTTTGCACTACTTGCCACCCCTGTTTCCGGGGAGCCAAACATCAGGGTGTCCTGTGACCTACAGCTTGTAGTTTATACTTGGCCTAAAAAGATGAGCTGGAGCAACCATTCCTCACTTAGAAATGTGTCATTGGCAAACAGATGCCCCAGCAGGGTCAGAAGCCAAAAAGTGCAAGGCAAGGCACCACAACAACTTGGGCCTGGAGGGGCCAGTTCCAAGAGAACAGGTCAGCAGGGAGGGAAGAACAGAGCAGCTACCAACAGAAGCAGACACACCATAAGACAGAGGCCATGAAACTCCAAACATAGTGTCCGATGCCAGCTCCGTACCAATGCTTTTGGGATGTTAGCTCCACCCCCATCCTTAAAATCCAATACCCTTTACCTAAGCAGATTTGGGTCCTCTGCAACCCAATCAGCCAGTCCAAAAAATAAGATTTTTTCACTTTTTCCATTACCTTCAAGATAAGAAATAATTCTCAAGAAAAATAAAAGTAGAGTCTATGTCAAGAACATATGGCCTGGCCTAAAGACAGTTTCCAATTCATGGGATCTGATAGATGACAAAAATTTAACAGCTGTTAAAAGTAGGGGGTAAAATCGTTTTTTCTTCACATTTTCAATTAAGCATTGATTACACTGCTGTCTTATGACAACGACCCACCAAAATATTCTGTACCTGAGCCTTGTGGTTTCTGTGGAAGACACGAGAATGAAAGATCCAGATCTGAGGCTCACTGAGGAGAAACTTGAAGGGAAAGGATCATCATTTGTATAAATAATTCAGAGCACGCCGGGGCCTATCCTGAGGAAGTTACACCAGAGTCTTTGCAAGAACTGAATTCCATCACTAAAGACAGGACCACTGGGAGCTGCCACTTGAACTCAAAGTAATTAATCATGTCTGCTGTGGAAGGGGCTCCGGCCCACTCCACGAGTGCTGTCGGGGCTATAATCCACAAGGTTAAACCAGGGTATCCACTTAAAAGTGAAAGGTTAAACGGGATAGAGATATCCTACTGGAATGTTCAAGAAAAAGGAAGCACTTCATCATTCCAGTGAAACCTGGTAATCAAAATAAACTCACAAAATATACCACACAAACCCCAGTGTGCAGAATCATCAGTGGCCTAATTAGGAATAATCAATCTCACGACGATGCCTGGACAGCGAGCTGCTCTGTTCACTGCAGGGAGACAGATTCTCACAGGAGCACAGCCGGACAAACCAACCTTCCCCCCGCCCCGCCCTTCCCCCTCGCCTCAGCAGCCTCTGAGCACTGGGCGAATGACCGCACCAACAGCTCTCAGTGTCACACTCGGTAAAATGAGGGGGCTGGGTATTATGACTGCCCAGTCCACTCTCTGGCTCTCTGAATCAGACTGAACCTACTTTGAGAAAATCATCATCTAAAAATTGTGCTATTAAACATTTTTGGTAAATACCCATAAGCTGACTAAACTATTCAGTAATGGCATTAATTTCATCCCCAAATTTACACAGAGCTTTTCCATAACCACCGGAAAAAGCAACTCCAACAGCATTTATCCAGCTACATTTACTAAAAATTGCCCCCAGCACCAGAAGAGACAAATGGACAATTCAAGTGGAATCTTTTTCTTACCATTCCGAGACACATCAAGTTCCACCAGCTGCATGAAGTTTGCTATTTCTGGAGGGAGCCGCTGAATTTCATTATCACTAAGTCCAAGCTTTCGTAATTTGACTAGCTGGAAAAATTGCTGAAAGACAAAATAGTTTTGCATGGGTCTCACATATATTTGCAATGTACACTTTCTGCCCCATATGAAATTTAAAACACTATGTCTTTTAAAACTTAATGAGCATTGTACCAACGTCAACTTCTTGACTTTCATATTTAAATAATAGTCATATAATAGTCATGTAGTCCACCACTGGGATAAACTGGGTACAAAGACATCTCTGTACTCTTTTCACAACTTCCTATCAATCTACAATTATCTGAAAAGTTTTTAAAAATGAGTAAGTAGCTCACTGAGAATGGTAATTACTCCTTTAAACTATCCAGTGGGTGGTCACACTTTCTACTTATAGAAAATGATATTCAATCTGTGTTAAGTAAATTTATGTAAAAATTAGAATAAAATATTTTAAAAGACATTTTTAATAGAAATGACTGTGCATCAGAAAGTATATAAATATCCCACAAATGTGCAAAGGGAACAAATTGTTTTTGACCAATCGAAAGCAAAGTATGCATACTTCCATTAACCAGGGCATACTGAGGACACGCCTCCCCCCGCCCCCCGCCCCGCATCCTTTAAAACTGTACTAAAATGACACTAAAACAATTTATACAAAATGGATATAAATATAAAAATATGAAATAAATGCATGAAGACAATTAAAAATGAGAAAGGACAAGAAGCAAACTAGACATGCCACAAAATCCTTAAAGTCAGAAAACAGATGAACCAATGGGAACTAACAAAAGAATCCAAACAACGCTGAAATCCAACCCTGTGGAGTAAGGAGTCAATAGGAAATTAGGTCCAGGTGACCTCTGAAGGAAGGAGAACTGGTTGAAAATTTATATAAAGAACAGTTAGGTCCCCACATCCTCTTCTCTACCCTGCATAGCCAGGCAGGAGACCAGAAATTTCCCTCTAAAAGAGTTGACTCTAAGCACAGCTGAGGGCAGGGTGAGGCACCCTACTAAAAACAGAAGGACTGAGTCAAAGCCCTGTGAGATTCCACCCCCTTCCCAAAGCCAGGCTCCCAGGCAGGAGAACAGACCCTACAGACACGAATTACAGTACAGTACAGAGAATCCCCAGGTTACAAGCCCACCCATGCACAAAGAGCTTCCAACTATCTTCCCTCCCCCCCCCCACCCCACAAGTGTCTGAATCAATCAACCTTTCTTTCTTTCTTTCTTTCTTTCTTTCTTTCTTTCTTTCTTTCTTTCTTTCCTTCTTTCCTTCTTTCTTGCTTTTCTTTCTTTATTCTTTTATTCCTTTCTTCCTTTCTTTCATGTCTGTGTGTGTGGGGGGGGAGGGGGTGTTTGTTTTAGTTTTTTGTTGTTGTTTTTTGGTTTGTTTGTTTTGAGACATAGAGAGCACAAGCAGGGGAGTGGGCAGAGAAAAAGAGAGATAATCTTAAGTAGGCTCCATATTCAGTGTGGAGCCTGATGCAGGGCTCTATCCCATGACCCTGGGCTCATGTCCTGAGCCGAAATCAAGAGTCTGACGCTTGGGGCGCCTGGGTGGCTCAGTGGTTGAGCATCTGACTTCAGATCAAGTCATGATCTCATGGTACATGAGTTCGAGCCCTGCATCAGGCTCTGTGTTGACTGACAGCCCAGAACTTGGATAGTGCTTCGGATTCTTTGTCTCCCTCTCTCTCTGCCCCTACCCTGCTCATGCGCGCGCTCTCTCTCTCTCTCTCTCTCTCTCAAATAATAAATAAATATTAAAAAAAAGTCTGACACTCAACCAAATGAGCCACACAAGCAACCCCAGATCTGTCATGCAACCCCAGATCTGTCATTTCAACAAAACCAAGGTTTTCTGGACACTTGAGGAAAGCCCCTAATGCAAGAGAGTACCCATGTCAACCAAAAAATATAATTAATACCCTCAGAGAAATAAGAGAAAATGAAGCAACATGATACCATAAAAAGCAAGCTTCAAAGAAGATATGTTTTTAGAAATTAAAAAATATGGAGCATTAATAAAAGAAATGAAAAATAAAGTTAACAAGATCCCTCAGAAAGTAGAATAAAAAGACTATGAAACAGAGAAATGAGACAGGAAAATTCAAGGACTGGTCTACAAGGTATGATATCCAACTAACAGGTATTCCAAAGGAAAATACAGGGGACTGCATCTTCCGGTTAGGATAAGTCCACCCTATGGCCAATAAAATGAATGCCAGAGACATGGAAGAATACCAGGAAATATAAAACTTCAGAATGCCAGAAACAAGAAGATTCCAAAAGCTTCCAGAGACCAGGAGGTGGGGGTTGGGGGTCTAACAAAGAATTGGGAATCAGAAAGGGGATGGACTCCACAGCAGCCTTGAAAGTAAGAAGGTCATGGAGCAATGCCTTCAAAATTCCAAGAAAACATTATTCCCAGCCTAAAATTACATCAAGTATGATGACAAAATAAAGACATTTTTATACATGCATGGTCTCAAAAAAAATGCCTCTTCCTTGCACCTCAGGAACCCATTAAATGTGAGCATAAATCTCAAAGGAGGAGGATCGGAGATCCAGAAATCAGAGAATCAACAAAAGAGAGAGAAACAAAAGAAATTCCCAGAAATGAAGAGTGAAGAGACTTCTAAGATGTCAGCTGAGCAGCTGGCCCTGAGAGCGACTGGTCCACACTGCAGACAACAGGGAGGTTCACAGAAGAAAGATTTTTTGGGGGGGAGGGAAATGCACATCTGTGGAATTATCTGATGTGTTTGAAAAGATCAAGAAGATTTGTTTGTCGATAAGTTAGAAACATAGAAAACAAAGTAAGCAAAAAACAAAAAATATAAAGTATTCTTATATATTCATAATATAAATTTAAGACTCATTTATGAACAATAATTGGTCGTAATGTTTTAATATCCACATATTGATAAAAGCAAAATTTACGTTATGTCAATTTTGAGAGGATAGAGAAGAAACAGTAAGTACTAAAGCCACATCTTCCATAGAAAGAAATCAAAAGATAACTACAAAGTGAAAAAAAAATCAAATTAAAAGCAAGCTTAGCAGTGTTGGGGCATACATCAGTGGAAAAGCCAGGAGCTGGGGTTTCTCAAGAGTCAGAAACTGGGGTGGGGACAGGAGGTGCAAGGGGCTACTGTTCTTCACTGTCACATTATGAATGAAGCTCACTGGATTTAAAAAAAAAAACTATTTGCATATAGTGCTTTGCTAAAAATATAAATTACATTTACAAAGGAAAAAGTCTCTATTAAGATTACAGGCTTCTCCAAGTGATAATTTTGAAGAATGCTACTATTTAATAAGTTCCAGGGACTATATATTTCTATAATCAAAAAGAAGGCACTGTCATTTGGAAAGCAATTGGGCAATACATAGAACATAAGTTTTCAAGTCCACTGACATAATAACAATACTTTTGAGCATCTGTCCTTGTAACACACAGTAACTGAAAATAAGAAAAACGAGCTACAAGGCACAGTATGTCTTTGCATTATTATCAGTGAAAAGGAAAAACTGGAAAACATATATGTAAAATAAGGGAAATGATCAGCATGTTATTAAATAATTCAATACTGAGTAAGAGACCTAAATAATTACTAAAAAGACCATATAACTTGAAAAAGATTTACAATGCAGATATAATTTTAAAAGAAAAAATTGCAGGTACACTGTAAAAAAGCATGTGTGCATGCTGACAGGAAGGAAACACAAGAAAAAAAGTTATTTTAGGTGATAAGGAAAATGCACAACTTTAAATTATTTAACAAAAAATGCAAGATGTTTTTAAATAAACTATGAATCTCAGCAAATAGACACTACTACCAATTAGCTGTACCTGATAATGAAAGTGCTCAATGAAAGAACTAATCCTGTGGACTTCTTTAATCATACAGTTGAGATTTAATTTCTTAAAGGAAAGGTATTGAAATTTCTTTATACTGGTTGTATGAAAGCATTAGCTGACACAAAAGCCATTCAAAAGAGTCACATATTTGAATAATTGAGCTTATGCCAATTGTTCAAAGAGTCTGACAGTTTCATAATGCATCAATGTGTTTACTCAAGCATGAAAAGCTCACTTTATTCTCCAGGAAAGATAGAACCGCAAGAGCACAAAACCATCACCAATTCCATACATTCAGGAACCATTCAGAAAAAATACAAGAAATCAAGTCACTAAGGTACTCAGATCTGCAAGTGAATAATAAGTTCACTTTACATCTGTGGAAACAACAGCCTACAAGTCCCCACATCTAGTGTAAATCATAACAGCAGACAAATTTAAGTTTTGTTCTGCATATTAAAAGCATCCTCAAAGAGAGCCTGTCACAAACACCACTTTATTCAACTTGGGATGTACAAACCAGACGTAAAAACAACCCCATCTGACAGGATCCCAAAATGAAAACAGTATTTCCTAAATCCTCCCCTCATTACCCAGATGGGATCTTAATTTGGCATCCAAATGCTTTAAATTAACTATTTTCTTCTAAGACCAACACCATGCCACTAAGATTTTATTAAATACTCAAGTTTTCTACTTCCTCAGATAGTCTGGGGAAAAAACCCACCAAGCTATAAGCCCTTCTGCCTTCTCTTGACATTAGCCAGGGCACATGCAGAACAATTCATGTCGCTGTCTTGGCAGGGTGCTGCAGCACAGAGCGATCATGTGACACAACACACAGACACCATTCTTCAACTATATACCATGTCTGATTACAGCACACTGGCCCACTTTGGAGGACACTGTGTACAATTACACGCAAAGGAACCCAAACTGCCTTGGCTTGTTATGCCACACCACAGCCTTCTTATAGCCACCCTTGTTTTCAGTAGATGCAGAGTCTCTAATTTGGCTGAACAGCATGTTTCCTTTTCCCATTCCCCATTTTGACAAGATTCTTTTTCCTTCTCTTTTGGCAGAGTGTTGGTACCTCCCTTCCTCTTAGAAAGGGACATGGGAAATCTGAGTCCTAAAACAGCTATGTCCTTTTTAATTAGTATATGGCCAAGGATCAGTCAATTGTT